TATTTCTGGCATGGGGAGGTGTACAAATCCAAACAGTTGAGACAGTACTGGGTTTCTGACGTGTTGGGAGAAACAAATGACACGAACGTGTCATTTGTTTCTCCCAACACGTCAAAACCCAGTACCGTAGGTGGACGAATTATTCAAACCCTTGCAGACTTCACCCCCCTACCCCCCATAGTTCAATGTTGGCCTGTTGGTGAAGGAGGTTGGCTTGAGTGGACGAATCAAATCAAACCCCTGACAACAAAACATCTTTTCACTGAGACAACATTGAAATCGGGGGTGCGGGGGTGGTGGTCTGCTATGGTGGTTTAGGGTTTGATTAATTTGTCCATCTACTGTAGTTTATGTGATTTGGCTGCGACATGATCTTCGTTTTCATCTCAGGAGACGCACCTTTGAAGATCTACACGAAGACTGGACCTTCTTTCGGGAGACATCGGGAGACGCACCGAAACCGCGGGCTCCGGCGGGCTTTGTTCGGTGTGCCCACCAGGTTTCTCCGAACGGAGGCCGAGCGGAGCGTGCGTGTCAGGTACTTGAGCCGCCTCACGGGAGTTCTGGATCACTACCAGGAACGCGTCACCCGGAGACATTCGACCCGAAAAGGATCGAAAAGGGACGTTTTCTTCTTTAAATAGACGAGTAAGACTATACAGCTTTTTGTCCTGTCGTGGGGGGGGACGAGAAAGTGAGATGGAGTGGTGACCGGAAGGAGTCACACATCGCAGCGGGAAGACAAGGGTGACCGGACACTCCATGGAACCGGAAGAGATGGGCCGAGTGTGTGGTTCAAATAGGGGGACCTCCCACCCTTGGAACCCTTGGAAGACTCAACATCAACCCGTCTACCGTCTGCCAGACAGGTCGTGGGGAAGGACCGGCATGGACCGGCCCTGTGGACAATGTCTTTTTGAGGCGTGAGACATGGACCTGGTCCAAGAGATGCACCGAGGCTCCGTGAAGGCATCGAGGTTGCGCAGTCCTAGAGTTCTAGCTATGCAAAGCTCAGGGTCTGTAACCCTGAGCGAATCGGGCACCCTAACATTGGTCGCTCGCCCGGGGTCGCTCCTTTACATTGAGTCGTTCCTCTCAGATCCGAGATATCGAGTCGTAGCTTCGAAGTAGTTCGACCCTCCTGCCACCTACAGAACAGGGGAGACCCGTCCTCACTTCAAAGGGTCTGTGGATTTGGGAGAGGAACGAAGTCGCCCCACGCTGCTGGTCGGACCCGGAGAACGGGCCGTGCCGGTCGAAACGGTGGAAAGACATGGCCAACAAAGACGGGCTCTTGGTTTCATGTGGTCCTGAAAGACGTCATTTGGGTCGTCAAGTCTAGTTTGGTCGCACATGGATCCGGAGCAGGGCAGGTTTCAGCATTAGCCATTCGTGTGAAAGTGATGCTTTGCCTTTGGACTTTGGATGTGTGTGTCTACTTCTTGCTGTAATTTCAAGATGTTTCCCTCAATGATTCTGTGCATCTGCGTATGCAGCTTTCTACACTTCAAGTATAGTTCTTGGGCCCTGATCCATCTGCTGAACAGGTGTCATGTTGGTCCGTTTCCGTTGCGAGGGTTCCAATCCGTTGGTTATTGAGATGTCAAACAACAATACATACTAAATGAAAAAGAATATCAGTAGATGGCAAGGATGTTCAATCCAATCTGTGATGATATGTTGGATACATTTTGGTGGCTCGGTGCAGCTCCAAGGCGGCCTGCAGCCTGTGTTTAGTTGGGCCTTAGAAGATCTTCCCCAGAAAAACAAAAGATCCATACGGGATCATATGGTTGCTACTTAGCATAGGGAGACCTCCCAGTTCGACCCCGAAGAAGGGACATAGACCAGTCTACCCAGGTCTGCGGCTCTCCCTAGGCTGTCATTCCGCTGTGGGTCATCGTGTTCCGCACAGGGTCGAAGTTTGCCTGTCTTTGGTGAGACCCTGCAAAAGGGGTTGTTTCTTCCCTCCTTGGTCCAAAGTGCAAAGGGCCATTTCTGATTTGAGGAATCCTTGCCATCATTATTTGACAGACCCATATCATGCTTGAGAAGCTGAGAGAGAGATATGAAGGATATGGAGTAAGAGCAATTGCTAGAATCATGGAGTGAACAAGCAATATGGCCCAACATATGTTTCGCACCATCTCACTTGCGGATTGGTCCCTTGTTTGATGCTCCAAGTCCCAAGTAAGTCCCAAGTCCCAACTGGGTCATATATGTTTTTGGCCGAGAGGTCCGCCTGAGCCACTTCAGGTTTGGTACCTTTGCATGAACATCACCACCAAGCTGATTATGCTGATGCTTTTTTGGTGGTATTCGCTCAAGCCACTTGGCCTTTTGCACCTTTTGGGCCTGAGTGGACATCCATTGAAGCAGAGAACTGCAGAAAGATACCATTCCACATTCCAAGGTTTGTGTTTTTTCCTAGGTGGATGGAGTCTACTCGCATTGAGCTGTGGGTCGAGGCTTCTGCCTACATGAAAAGTCCACCCAGGAGCTCCGCCACACGAGTGTTTTGTGTTTGTTTGTTTTTTTCTGGGAGTCCATCCATGACACCTCGCATGGAGCCTGTGAAATCTCCCGGGGTTTGAGGGGACTCAGCATTTCCGTTGCAGGGAGGTTTTCTTAGTGACACACCCACACAATCCATGTACGGAATATTTGCCAACATTGGCTTCTGAAACCACCCCCATGTATGCATATACATACATGGAGTGCTGGGGATATAGCCGTTTGGGTCCATGTTTGCCAGGTTTCGATTGAGGTGATTACTTGGAACCTGGAATTTGCCCTCCGAACGGAGAAGAAGATCGCGAGGGCAGAATATGTTTAGTCGCTCCTCAACCCAGTCGCTTCCACACCTCTGGTAGCATAGGTAGTCTCTCCTCCCAAGGTTCACTCACCAAGAAAAAACATGTGGAATCTGGACCCTGGCAACCATGACATGCCACAATCCCCCGTGCTAGAAGCCTTGCTTTCGGAATTTCCCCATGCCCTGCAGTCCTTGGATCTGACCAACTCCTGTGATAACCCCACGGCCCTCACCCCAAAACCCAGGTTGTGCTCGTGCGCGAACGATGTTCACTAACTCCAGATGCTCATTCTCCTGGATCGAACGAAGCTCGGTGGTGCTCCCAACCTCGCCCCCCCCCTCACCCGGGCTCGGACCGTTGTCCCCGTTCGAAAGACGTCTCTGAGGGGTTCGTCGGTTCCAAGACCGAGCAGTGCAGGTCGGTACCATGATCTCATCGTGAACATGTTGGTGAACACCCACTTCTCCTTTCGAAGGCAGGTGGCCGTGTTGGACCCCGAAGCAGCAGGCGCGGAAATTGGGTTCGACCGTCGTGGCGGGTCCACGGACATGGCGCACCGGATGGAGGGCTGCAGAGAGTTTGGGTCATTTGGGGAGTTGGCAATCTGTTGGATTTTCGAAACATCTGGTCATCATGGAAGCCCTTTGTAACTGCTCCGGAATTGAAGCTGCGAATCTGGACGAATGGACTCCCAGTATTCAGGAATCTCAGTACATGAGCGGGAATCTGTCACAAAGACTGGAGCTTACCTTACTAAATAAGGATTTAGAGATTTCTACATGACTTCCTGATGTGGTTTCACTTTCCATCGGTTTCCTTGGACCACTCTTGGACGGACCTCGCTCGAACTCTCGAGGCAACGGCGATGAGGCACCGGACCGGAGCGGCGATGAAGGAAAGGGAGGGCGAGACGTTTTGTTGAGGATGAGATTGATTTTTTGGATAAGGACGGATTCAACGGAAGCACAGCTTTCTGTCCTCTTCTCCTTGGTGATGTCGTGAAGCATGCGAAACCCACGATAATTTGCTGCTTGAACAGCCCCCTTTCTCCATAAGCAGAACACTAGAGGCAATAAAGATTCTGCCAGATGGCAGAATCCTTGACCTGTATGAACCTCATGGTTGATGGCTCCGACATGTGCCATCTCCTTAAAGCCTGACATTTCGACCAGGGTTCCGAACAGTATGGAGGTGCTCTTTCTTGTTGGTGGGTCGAGATTGGAATTGGTGGATTGAACAGATTGAGATTCTTGGTCGAAAGGAATTCTTGGAGAAGAATTTGAATATCTCTTGAGAGGAATAGAAGAACGAGGTCAATTCAGAACGGAACCAGGTTGCTGGATTCCAGCCTATGCTATCCACTTCCATGATCATTTCAGGGAGTGTATATTGTTTTCTACCCTTTCTTCAGTCACAAAACCTTGGTGGCAAGGGTGAAAGTCTTCCATTCGGCGTAAAACTGCATCGCCCAAAGAATCAAGCCAAAAAACAGCAGTAGAAGCCAACTAGGTACAACCCGCCAGCAGTTCTTTCTACACCAGACCCCATACCTACAATCCTCCACCGTTTTGAGCGACTCGAGATGTCCGTCTTCATGTGTTTTTTCCTCAATATATAGTGGTCCCCAAAGAGTATGCGTGGCACGATTTCCATTGGTTTCCAAAACATTTTTAGAGGGGATCTACTGTATCTACTTTTGTATCGATCTATTTGGGGGTCTATATAGTATGACATGGCTTGGATTTGATGATTTCATCTTATTTCTCCCTAACAGAAGTGGAGCTCAGGCTCCCCCCTTCCGCTTTGCCCCGCATTCCCTGACGGTGAGTCATCTAAACGTGTTTTGTTTTCTGCGCGACTCAGGGCCAGGACCTGTACAAACAGCTGATTGAACACTGATCTAAAATGACTATGACAGTCTACTACTGATAGTCAATCTTGATCATGGACCGCCTGACCGCCAAGTCAACGCAGTTTTTTGCTTTGAAACTTTGAAGGATGTATCTCGCTAGCGATTTGAAGAAAGATGGTGGTCCATCCAGAACTCCATTCGAAGAGATCGCAGCACTCCACAGCACCAGACAGCTGTTGAGGTCAATGGTTCTTATGCAGGACAACCGAAGAAAAATAAATAGACTCTTCAGGACTTTTTGGGGCCCAAACTGAGGGCTTCCAGTCAATTTCCCTTACAGGCGCCCTTGCACCCACGAGCCCACCTCGGCTAGGAGGGAACGTCTCCCCCAATTGGAGAATGTGCGTCTAGATGACACTGCAATCTAGTTCGTTTGCGCTTTGGATGAGGTTCCAATCTTGCTCTAGGCATCCCTTGTGCCATCCAGCACTTCCATAAATTGTTTGGTTCCTACGGCAAGCCGCTCTGCTGCTCACCTGGACCCAAGCTCTTACAAGCAGTTTCCCTGCGGGTCACTATGTCTGACAGTCGCGTTATTCGAAGCACCAGAGCCAGCGGTTTGCTTTCACGAGCTGCAATTCTGAAATACCGTTGGTGAGACCTTTGGTGAGTTGAACTTTTAGCCAACATACTCATACTCAGACACCACAAATGGGACTGGAATATGTACATTGACCCCAAATCAACCACCCCAACTCATCGGTACATGCCAGCCCATGGAGTTTGTGGGATATGCTGGCACATGTTAGTCACTACCGGCACGCAAGTGCACCCTGCGACATGTGAGGGGTTTCTGGGTTTCTGCGACCCTTCGATCTCTTCAACCAGATTTCGGCGTTCGCGTTCGAACAGCTGAGCTATATCCAGCTTGTTGGAACCATCGCCTGGGCTCGTGCAGTGTGCAGGCCAGGAGTAGAGCTGCCAGAAGGAGGAGCGACTTTTGTTCTCTTCGGATTGGCGACAAGCAGACCTTGAGTTGACCGAGTTTTCCTTGCTGACATGACCCCTGGCGTCCCTTCTGAGCCCCCCCGAAAGAAGAGCCGTCCGCGGGACGTGGCAGGGCTTCGTTTTTGCCGCAAAGGCGGCTCATTTCGTGAGTTCTCGTTCCCAGAGACTCCATGTATTGCGTATATGAACCAATCAGTTGGGGGGTGTTGAAAAGGGGTCTAGCTACATATTCCAGCATATCCCAGTCCCATGGAGCGTCTGGGACTGTTTCCCGGTTGGCGGGAAAAGGGCGCTGGGTTTGGATCGTCTCTTGAGTTTTCGGAGCAAGTCTGCCCGGGATACGGGCAGTGAAAGAAGATGAAGAGCTCCTGGCAGCGATGCTCCTGAAGCCATCACCCTTGCTGGATGGAACTTGTGGCTGTAGTTTGGAGGCTGGTGACGCGCTTGCGCTTGGGATGGCAGGCGAAAAATGGGCCTGCTGGGAGCCCTTTCTGTGAGATGCGCCACCATGCTGAACGACGGTTAAGGTTTTCCAAGGAAACAGCTAATGTGACCAAAGTCAGATACTGTAGCCATCATTAGCTATCAATTTTGGGGCGTTGTGGATAACTTGCTGCATTTGGCTGCTAATGCCGTCTTTTCCCCGAATGCATAGCGAAGGGTTCTCGTTTATATAACTCTGGGGGTCTGGGGGTAGAGTCTTGTTCGCGACTCGTTGTAGTAGCGACCAACGTTCGCAGTGTTGCCCTATGCCGCTCACATTGGGCAAAGCTTTTGGAGAGGGTTTTGGATGGAAACATGGAAGCATGACGTGTCAGATTCATGTGAAATAGCGAGGAAACGTGTGGAAACGTGAGAAGATGAAGTGTGGAGGATGATTTCGCTGCGCAGGTGCAGCGTTTTGTGTGAGATCTGCAGTTCTCTGCGTAGTCAGATTGGGATTGGCGTTTAGAGGGTGGTGTTTTTGGCTCAAGGCTGGTGGCCTGAGGAGAACCCAGCGGGTTAGAGCTAAGCAAGGCCCGGTGGAGTACGTGAAGCGGCTGGAGGGCCGCTTCGCCTTTGCCAAGCAGAGCCCCTACTACTGCGAATGCTACACTCCGGTGCACTCCCCGACCAAGGCGGTAGATCTCTAGTCGAAGAGCACCCTCCGCCAGGTGCTCACACATTAGAACTGTGAGCTGGCACGCCGGCGGCGGTGGGCTGAGCACGATCAGCCACTCCATGATCGGACTCTAGGGGGGTGCTGCAGCCGGAGACGAAAGGATCCAAAGAGACCGCCGCGGGACCAGCGACCCAGGCACATGTTGGCAACGGAGAGGCTGCTGCATGTGAGCAGTTGCAGCCAGCCAAAGCCGCGACCATGACGGAAGAGGCCGCCTCCCTCGGCGGGGACTGGCTGCAAATGCTTCCGGGACAACAAGATTGAGCTGTACGAACACTTGCCGTGCGCGCTCCACTCCGCCGCTGCCCTGTATCTTAGCTTCTCGCAGCTTGCCGAAGGCCACGGCCATGGCGAACGTCCTGGCGAACTGGCCCCAGAAAATCCCGGTGCATGGCGCCGCGACCCAAAAGATCGCCGCGCAAGGCGTTTTTGGCACGCTGCCTCCAGCACGCCCAGGAAGAACCCAATTGGGGCGCTTCAAAGGGCAGCGACGGCGGCAACTGGGAAGATGATGCGCCGAGGGGCCGCGGGATGAAGCGCAAAAGTTCGTCCTCATCATCTACTACCTCAACCCTCACCAAGAAGAAGGCCAAGAAAGACAAGACAAGGGCAAAGAATGAAGCCAAGAAAGAGGCTAGGCGGCTAGGCTAAAGACAGAGCATCGAAGCAGCGAACCCCGACGCCAGAAGAGGCCAGCCCTTCGGAAGCGCCTGTCGGCCAGCAACCCGCGACCGCAGCCGCGGCCGGGGCCGAGCGCAAGGAGCCCGAGTGAGAAAGCGGGTTTGGCTGGCGGCGCTGAAAGAAATTCGTAGGTTATGGATATTTTGCGGCTCCAAACGTCGGCGGCACAATTCCTCTGCCAAAGTCAAAGATAGCTATCGTCTATCGTGTATTATCTGAGCTTTAATTACTCTCTTCTTTGTGTGCCACAGGGTTGCATGGTCGACGCTGACAGGATGCGAATTATTTTATCTTGCTGTCTTGCCTTTTATGATTGTGATTGCACCACCGTGGCCACCTTCGCGAAAGACATATATCCAACCTTAGACACCTGCGCGTTGGAGCCGTGGACTGCCCGCGCCCGCAACCAGGGCCTGTGCGCCTGCGTGCATGTCGTCGCTTGTGTGCGTGAATGTGGTCGGGTCAGTGGTGCGGTCCTTTGCGCCCGAATGTCATCACACCGCACATGTTGCGAAGCTCGCCGCGTGTATCATTGAAACTCTCATGAGGCGGGTTGAATGTATGGGCACGCATTTTGTGGTGCATGGAACGAACAGCGCTTCTTGAAAGAGCATCCAGACTTGAAGAATTGGTTACATGCCGTGATGGACATGCCCAAGGAAAAGTGGGGTCCTCAGTTTTTGGGTTTAGGTTGGTCGGACGAGCCTGCTTCATGGAATTTCATTTG